ACCAGCATTCATCCTATAATTTTGGGTGTTTATTTGTGGGCTTAACCACCTAAATATAAGCCTCATCCAGAAAGGGCCAGTTTTTGCCAAGGTTAAGATGTGTATAAGAGACAGCCATCACGCCCGGCTAATTTTTTGTATGTTTAGTAGAGACGGAGTTTCACCGTGTTGGCCAGGATGGTCTCCATCTCCTGACCTTGTTACCACCCGCCTTGGCCTCCCAAAGTGCTGGGATTACAGGCGTGGGCCACTGCGCCGGGCCGATTTTATTTTGTTTTGAGGAGAAGCGTGAGAAATGGCTACCATACAAATCAAGAAATTCATAAAGGCAAACAGTTGATGACTGTCACTTAAGAATCTGTTATTTTCTTTTATCCTTTCCCCAAGACATATGCCCTCTAACATAAGCATTAGAATCAAATTATATAATTCTGAAAAAACCTGTTCTCAAAGCTTTAGGGTAAAAATTGTTTAATCAAATTGTAACACAAATTGAGAAATATCATTAAAGTGATAATGCCATCCTGTAAGAATTGCTAAATCTACTTGAAGTTTGTGTTTGATTCAGTCTATTCAGAATTGCTTGCATCTGCAAATTACTGATATCAGTAAAGTTAATTGAACACCCACTCTGTGTCGGGTTTTAGAGTCATAAATAGAATGTAGATTCTATTCCTGAGGAGTAAAATATAATGGAGGAAGCAGACATGTAACCAGTAACTTCAACCAAAGAATAATCAGAAAACACTCTGAGTGAAAGGGCAATGGGAAACACAGATTTATTTGTTTATTAATTCATGCAGGAACATCTCATTTTTATGTCAAGTTTAACATTTCAACTGGAAAGAGCTGGAATAACTTTGGAGAAGTAGTTCTTTGGGAAGGTAATACACATTTATCCTTTGGAGTTTTTATGCAGGTCACAAAGAGGCTTTATCCAGCTTGGTGCATTTTAAAGAAATATTGTTTAGGGAAGTTTCTGAAATGCCCCTTTACAGCTCTTTTGGAAATAGTCTACACTGGCTGTGATTTTTGCACAAAGAACATTGAAGATAATTCAAGCAAAAAGAGCAGAAAGATCTGCACGTAGGAATCAACCACAGGTACAGTAGTGTTAAAGTGGGCCTGCATCATGCACCCATTGAGAGGGGTGGAATAAAGCAGTGTTGAAGAGCTGACCTTGGAAATGATACATGTGTGGGGAATTCATTCTTTATTTAACTCATAAATTAGTCAAAGAAGAATTATTGGCAAGACTGTGACTTGAAGTTTTGTATTGATGAAAAAAGAAGGAGGGGAGGAAATCTGGTGAACCAGATCCAGGAAGAAGAGAAGAGAATAAATATATGTATGTTTTAGTTTCTTGTCACAGAAGGAGGAACATGGGTCACAGCAACCTTTTTCACAAGTAGGTAGGTCCCTCTTATGCAATTTAAGTAATGAAACAAATATTAAACCTCTTCTCTGTGCAGGGTGCTGTGGTCAGCATCATGAGTAATACCAGAAGGAGGAAAGGTTAGCCCTTCCCCCAAGGGACGAGGCTTATTTTTTACCAGAAGATAAGATGTGTATACATGTAACAGCAATGCAGGGAAAGATATATTAATATTTATAATAAAGATGCAAATAGAGCTAGAGGGAGCTTAGAGGAATACATTTATTCTAACAAGGGTTATGGCAGAATTTATATGAAAGTCTTCTTTGGGCTAAGTGATAATCGGAAATTCTATCGGCATGCATGGAAAGGAAAGACACTCCAAATTAAAGAAATATAAAATGTCTGGGTGTGATGGGTTCATGCCCATAGTCCCAGCACTTGGGGAGGCCAAGACAGGAGGATGACTTAAGGCCAGGAGTTTGAGGCCAGCCTGGACAACACAATGAGACCCTGTCTCTACAATAAGATAAAAATAAATAAATAGCCAGGTGTGTTGGCATGCACCTGTAGTCTCAGCTACTTGGGAAGCCGAGGCAGGAGGATCACTTGAGCTCAGAAGGTCAGGGTTACAGTGAGCTATGATCATGACACTGCACTCCAGCCTGGGCAGCAGAGCAAGACCCTGACTCAAAATAAAAAAGAAAAAGTATGAAAAGAAGAAAGTATGGAACATAGTTGGGGAAAAGCAAATAGCCGTATCTGAGCACAGTAGACTCATGATGCTCTCTTCTACTATAACTGCCTTTACTTTTCTCATAAAAGTTGAAAAATACCATTTTGCCATGTGTGCATTAATTTGCTAGGGTTATTGTAACAAAGTAGCAGAGAATGGAAGTCCTAAACAACAGAAACTTACTGCTTCACAGTTCTGGAGGCAGGATTGGCTCCTCCTCGCAGCTGTGAAGGAGAATCTGTTCCATGTCTGCCTCCTGCCTTCTGGGGGCTGCTGGCAATCTTTGTAGTTCCTTGGTTTGTGGATGAATCTCTCTTCTGCCTTCGTCTTCATATGGCGTTCTCCCCATGTTCTCCCTATGTCTCTGTGTCCAAATGTCCCCTTTTTTTTAAATTTTATTTATTTTATTTATTTTATTTTTTTATTTTATTTATTTTATTTTTTAAGATGTAGTCTCACCCTGTCACCCAGGCTAGAGTGTAGTGGTGCGATCTTGGCTCACTGCAAGCTCTGCCTCCCGGGTTCATTCTCCAGCCTCAGCCTCCCAAGTAGCTGGGACTACAGGCACCCCCCATCACGCCTAGTTAATTTTTTGTATTTTTAGTAGAGACGGGGTTTCACCGTGTTAGCCAGGATGGTCTCTATCTCCTGACCTCGCCTGCCTCGGCCTCCCAAAGTGCTAGGATTACAGGTGTGAGCCACCATGCCCGGCCCAAATGTCCCCTTCTTATAAGAACACTAGTGATATTGGATTAAGGCCACTCTAATGGCCTCATTTTAAGGTGATTGCCTCTATAAAGACCCTATCTTTATAGGAAAGGGAAAATTAACTCGTATGAGGATATAAAGAAGAGAAAATGACTTTTAGGCTGGCAAATAGATTCACTATATATATATATATATACACACCCATTTATTTATCAAATAGCCTTGATATTCAACATAAAGAATAGAGACATTATTCTAGGCAATGGAGTTCCATGGCCAATGTGTACAAGATGATAAAATTACCTTGGAATACTAAGTAAGCTTTTATATACAACTGAGATGCAAAGTTGTGAAACAAATGATAAAGGTAGATAAGATTGAAATTAAAGAGAAGAATTAAATATCATAAGTCTGATGAGCTTGGAAGTCAAGGAGAATGGTTATCATTTATTTAGATTATTTTAATTTGTTTTTTAATAAATTACTAAATTATTTTATATTTATATATTATAATTATATGTGAATTATAAATAATTCATGATATACAAGTAAATTGTAATAAATACAAATAATAATATATATTATATATAGTGAATATGCAATAAAATATAATAAACATGTGTTATTATAATTTATAATTATGTTATTACATTCTAAATATTTAGAAAATTATTTGTAAATGATTCATTTATGGGATAGAAGGAAAATTTTACTGACAGAAAGGATACTTTCCTTTAAAATCCAAAAGATGGAAAGGTTCCTGAACACAGCAGGGTCATCCCATGGCTAGGAGGACAGACCAGTTCCCCAATCCACATCATACGAGGAGCTGAAGCCCTGTTTGCAAACACTGTCTCCTGGGTTGGATTGGCTGTCTCCATTTCACCAACTTCTTGAAACTTAACACCTAGAAAAAAATGTTGCTCCCTCTCAGCACTGCCCCATCTCACTCCCCACACATGTGTGTATGTACATACACACACAGACATGCACAGACATGCGCCCCCACACATGTGCGTGTAGACACACACACACACAGAGGCATGCACCCACACACATGTGCATGAACACACACACAAAGGCATGCACCCCCACACACGTGTGCATGTACACACACACAGAGGCATGCACCCCCACACACGTGTGCATGTACACACAAAGGCATGCATCCCCACACACGTGTGCATGTACACACAGAGGCATGCACGGCATGCACAAATGCACATGCCTTATGCTACATGCATTGAAATGCTAAAGGGCTACATACAAAAAAAACTGGATTTGTCATCATAAATAGTTTTTGGAGAAGTAGGAAAAGCAGAAGGATATTTTTTCAACTTTTATAAGAACAGCAAAGGCAACGTGTGGTAGTAGAAGGAACATAGACTTTGGAGTCTGGCAGTCAGCCTTGTGCTGAGCTCCACAAACAATTTTCTGGGTAACTGTGGACAAATGAACTAACCGTACAAACTTTGGTTAACATTTATGTAAGGTGGGGATAAATATGTCTTATAGCTATTTGGAGGACTAGATGAAATGAGTTATATAAAGAATACAGTAAGTTGCATATGCCTTTCATTATTCTGATTTTTAATTTTAATAACCAGAAGGATTCCAGACATTTCTCCCAGTAGATTTAAACATATGCTTATGCACAGACTGACTTGCTATTTTACTCATGAGTCTAAAAAAAATTAGCTGTATAATAAAAAAATCAGAATGTCTACACGGAAAAACACACGGCTATTGTGGGCCTGTGATCATTCTCAGCAGAACCGGCAACTATTGTTTGGGTAAAGTTTCCTTCAGTCATTTTGCAAACCTCAGTGTTCCGAATTATGAGCTAACTGTTTTAGAAGTGAATAAAATCTACACTTTCAAGTGAATATACCAGTGTTAGAAGGAAACATAAGGAACAATTCTAAACTTCTTACGCAGATGCACGGTATTGGGCCTGCAGAGACATACAATAGCAAGAAAGCAATGGTTTTGAAATAGGATGTAAATAAAACATCCTTCTTTTCTTCATTGCTTTTGTAGTTCTTTTGTACTCCATAATTCCAATAGACATTTTCTGGGCAAGAGAGTTTGTCAGCAATTATTCTGTTGAGGATCTGGAAAAAAAAAAAAAAAACAATAATTAAATACCTTCACTTATCCTACTTTATCCCTGACTCTGTAGCTAAACTTAAGCATGGATTGAAAATAAACATACCTTGAGATAGTTTAATATAGAAGAGTATTGGGCCTTGGCCTTGAAACAATCTTTCAGACTACGATTCAGATTAAATTCATTTATGAATACTCTTTTAACTCTTTCTTCAATCTGTCTCTAACTTGGTAAATAACTACTGTGGAATATTTCATGAAGAAAAAAATACCATTGAACTCCTCATAGGCAGGCAATGGCAGTAAGCGAATGTGCTAATTCTGCAACATGGGAGGAGATGTGGCCTGAAGGATAATTGAGGGTGTGTAATAACACTTTATTTTTTAGACTAAACCATGTATATGTGATCTTCCCCCACCTCTTGCTAAATGATAGCAAGAAGCTTATGGTGGTTCAGGACAAAACCTTGGGGCCATCCTTGAATCTGGCTCTTCTTCCATGCTCCCAGTTGGATTCATTCATCAGCACTCATCAGCTGTATCTAGAATTTCACCAATTCTCACCATTTATGCTGGCCCAAGCTCGGATTAGCTCTTACTCAGATGATTGCATGAGACTTCCAGTTGCCCTCCTTGCTTTAGCACTGATCCCTTCAACCTATCTTTTGCACAGCAGCTGGAGTTATATTCTAAAATTCAGTCTCTACTCAACACCCTCCAGTGGCTTCCCAGCCTCTCTTATTGGAGAAGATTTCCTAACTATCCTACATAAAAGAACATCTCAGCACCTCCACCCCTGGGACTCTCTAAACCCCGCACCTCCTTTATTTTTCTCCACAGCACCATTCACCAGCATTCATCCTATAATTTTGGGTGTTTATTTGTGGGCTTAACCACCTAAATATAAGCCTCATCCAGAAAGGGCCAGTTTTTGCCAAGGTTACTGTTCTATTCCTGGCTCTTTGTTTCCTGGTTTAATTTTTTTTTTTTTTTTTTCGTGTTTGGGGTCTATAGGTTCTGTGGTACTATCTGCTGACTCCTTAGTGGGTGAAACAGAAGTTTCACATTTATCTCTTTGTCTTCTCACTCTCTGTCACCATGATTCCAAATAAACTAATTAATTCTCCTTAAGATCCCACTTTATTTTCTAACTCCAATAAATGTAATTATCCGCTGCTGAATTGCTTGACACATGTAGAGGGTAAAAGCTTTCATTTTGCCGGCAATATAGTCTTTCACTCCCTCCCCAGTTAGGAAAAATAATAAAAGATATGTTACCCCAAAAGTATACTCCCTAAAACATACTGTTTTCTATCTGTTTCTATTTATTTGCTTATGTTTAAACATACAATGCTTTCTCTTGCTTTCTATTTTTCTGCAACTACGTTCAGTATTTAGCACTCAGAGTTTTCAGACTGAAACCCAGACCAGTCACATCGACATTTCTTGCAGTTTCTTGAGCACTTGAAGCTTGTTTGCCACCCCAGGTCTTTGTTCTCTGGGTTATTTTGTCTAATACTTTTTCAGACTGCCTCCTGGTGAGCAGGGGCCTTGGTTCTAATGTCTCCACCTTGAGGCAGATTTTACTGACCACCATATCTAAAATAGCCATATTCTTGACAATCACTCATTTTACCCACATAGCCTGCTTTATTTTTTTCTGTAAAGCAGCCAATGTTACCTTATAAATTTAGCTGTCATTTTGTACCCTCCAGTAGAATAAAGTTCCTTTGAATCGGTGACTTTATCTACTCATTTCTCCAGCTAGGACAGAGCTGCCTATGTGGCAGGGGTTCCATATGTGTTGAGGAAAAAAAAAAAAAGTGAATGAATGAATTCCTTTGTATAGACATTAAGCTGCTAAAAGGGGGTTGTAAATCCCTTTAACCTCTTGTCACTAGCTGCTTTTGGAAATACCATTGTCAGGGACAGGTTTTTGAGAGTTCTTTAACCTATGAGGCAATTTCTAGACGTTTATTTTAAGTTGGGACGTTCTACTTAAGTAGCTAAATTGCGAATTAAAGAGGTTAACCAGTGACAGATCTAAATTCTTCATTATTGACAAAGCTACTTTGTTTTATCTTTTCTTTAAAGCTCAAGTGTTTTAAAAAATTAGTATCAAAATGTAAAACAATATCCACATTACTTAAGTTAAAATTATATTAATTGCTATTTGACATGAAGCGCCATTGTATCATGAGATATTACGAAAGGTAACTCTGCAGTCCTCCTCCACCTCTGCCAGATGAGGAAGGACACTGATTATGATGCTTCTAATGGCAATTTCATGTTGCCAACATAGACCTTGAAAGCTAGTTAATGTTGTTGGACTTGTCATGGAATTCCAGAAACAAACCATTGTGAATCAAACTATTAAATAGCCCAGTTAAAGAAAAATAACAGTCGTTCCATTATCTGCATCTATGTGTTATATGTATAACTATATCCATATTATTGAAATATATATATAGCTATATGCATATAGATACTCTCTGTATATGGAACTATACCCATATATATGTGTATGTATGTATATAACTACATCCATATTATGGAAGATCAGTCTTGCAGTTGATCAGGAAATTGCAAAATTCTGTGATCTAAGTTGGGCAGATATTTTGTGTAATCTTATTAATTCTATAGGAAGGCTGATAATGCAGGAACACCCGACAACCTAAATGATGAGAAATAGCATTGTAAATGATTGAGATTGTTAAAACTGTGGCGATAGATATGTTATGGGTTTGGGTATGTGACATATGAGCAGGAGGGTATGAAGAGATGAGGAGGGAACCCGTGGTTCACTTTGGGTACAAGCTTCAGTTAAGCACTTAAATTAGAATAGTTTACTGAGTATTATATAGTCATTTAACCAGGTACCAGACAGAGAATTTAGTAACTGTATTGAATGCCAAGTTTAGATAAAGTAAATTAATATTTTTATCTTATATCTCAATTCTTGAAAAGTTGCTTCTTTCTAAGCATAAAGAAAATAAGTATAGCCTTTAAGGCCTTAATACATTTGGCTTTGGAGTAAAGGTTGACCACTCCTCAACCATGTACCCTGGTACCTCTCACCACACCCCAAAATACCTGCTGTGTTCCTAACTTCATTCATGCTATAACCTCCCACCGAGAAAGCCCATCTCCTTCTTTCCCAGCTTTGTTTGGCTTCATTTTAGGAAACTGAAATAATACTGTTCTGAGTTTTCAAAACTATTTGACCACTCTCACTCATTCTGCAAGACCCAGCAAAAGTGCCACGTCCCCACGACACCACCCTGAGTTTCCAGGTAGCATAAGTGAGACCTCCTTCTGGGCCCTTGACATTGTACGGATGCATCTGCAGTGGCACAGATGAGATTCCTTCGTTTTCTCATTCCTTCTGTTTCTACCACTACCCCATAAGGTTTTGAGGTCATGCGTGGATCGTGTCTGTAACCCCAATAACAAATTGGAGTTTTCTTCCTCCTCTGAGACTGGGTAAACTTTACTGACTCCCATCCAACTTTGCATCCTTTGAGTCCAGGGTGCTCCCCAAAAGTCTTGAACATTACTCAAGAGTTTACTCCTATTCAGTCCCCAGTGTCTGCACTCCTCTTTCCATGTGGTTCAATAAAGCTTGGCCACCCAGACCCCCCATTCCATCCATCAGCCCAAAGATTTAATAAATCACTAATTATTAATAATACGTGATATTAATATTAAATAGTAAGAAATAATAAATTATTATTGATAAATATTAATAAATTCATCAAGTTCCAGAAGGCTTGAGGGGTTCTGAGGAGAGGATCACAAAATAATAGATCTCCTTCCACCAACTCTTTAGTCCACTGCCACACTCCCTCTGTCTCTATCTTCTCATCTCCATTTCCCTCTCTCTCTCTCTCCCTCTTTTTGTTTCTAGTGACAGGGTCTCACTCTGTTGCCCAGACTAAAGAACAAGGGTGTGATCATAGCTTACTGCAGCCTCAAACTCCTGGGCTCAAGGAATCCTCCTGCTTCAGCCTCCTGAGTAGCTAGGACTACAGGCATGCACCACCATATTGTAGAGATGAAGTCTCACTCTATTGCCCAAGCTGGTCTCAAGCTCCACATCCCGCCCCATTCCCCTCTAGCTATAGCTAGATCCTCACCAGGGATCCCCAGAGCAGATCCCCCCAGACTTAGATGCCTTTTGATCTCAGCCTTTGCCTCCAGTAAGCCCATTCAGAAATATTTCCAACAAAGAAAACTCTCCCTTTAAGATAAACTCTCAGACTACTCAAAAAGAGAAGTTTTTTTTATCTCAGTTATACATTATATCCATCTTTGTCATGAGCATAGGATCAATAATTTTGTAGATGTTTAAAAAATAATTTTATTCACTGTAATTGTTCCAGTTATCTTGGTCCCTGATCAATTTCAGATAACTTCAGGAGCCTTCTATTTTAGTTATCCTTGGTTGTGATTTGAATGACTTAGTTGGTTTGTGAGCTATTTTAATTTTGCTTTTGTCCTTTACAGAATTCTCTTCAGGTCAGAAGAAGAAAAAAGATTATTTGAAAGTAACCTCTTAGGAAATATTTCTGGAAAATAAGTGAAATTTTTTTTGAAAGCTGAAAATGACAAAATTCACCTTTCAGTTTTATTGTCAGGATCTTATACTAACAGAACTATGTAGTTGGAATGAATGAAAAAACAGAGCTCTCTGTAAGCTGGGGTATTTCTGACTACTGAAAATACTTTACATTTTAACAAGTGTCTGTGGATAGCATTTAAAAGAATATAAGCATAATGCCATGTTTCCTCGAATACTTGCATTGCAATCTCAAAAGCTATTTCCCTTAGAAATCTGAGAACAGTGATACATCTATTTGGTAAAGACTGCATTTTGTAAACCCCAAAGCACTAATAAATGAGTGTTTCTCTTTAATGAGAAGGTCCAATGTTTCATCATGGACAAATACCCACATTTTATTGAGTAGAGATGGCCTGTTATCCTCAGGGTTATCCCCTGACCATATCTGGACTATTTCATTACTCCTCTGCAGTGGAATTTGATCATAAAGTAAAAAGACATATTTTTGGCCTTTTAATTTACCCAGGATTTAAACATAGGTATGATACAGCGACAAGTTAATCAGAGATGTGTTTGGCCTTTTAAATCCCCTTCAAATCCTTGACACAGGGCCAGAAGCCAGTGCCTAAAAAGGAAGTCCACACGGGCAGCACCAACGCTGCCTGCTGAGCCCGGCACAATCTGCTTCTGCAAAGACTGTGTAAACGTACTTCATGGGCCTTTCTGTGCAGTAGAAGACAAGAGCATAAAGTACGTTAAGTGTGTTCACTCCATGTCTGGGAGGCAGCTGAGCCAAATAAAGTGAATTCCAAATTGGAAGTCAGAGACCTGAATTATAGTTCCAGTTATACTGTTTATTATCTGCATATCCTTAACCAAATCATTTCTGAGTTCTGGGTGTCCATTTCTTCATCTGTAATTATGGATGATACTATTTGCCCTGTAATTATACTGTCGATTCTCTAGGGATGGTTGATATCTTGTTCTTCCTTTCCATCACAATTGTCCCTGGCCCATTGCTCAACAAAGGCTTTTTGAGGAATTAAAATAGGTATGTTGTGGGGCATAAAATAAAATAATAAACAGAACAACCTCCAAATAAAATGTAGAATGATTAATGCAACTATAATTTTATTCTGTATACTGCGTTATTGAAGATGCATTGCTTATTCCACAATTTGCGCCAACACCAACGTGACATTGATGAGAAGCCTCCCTCTATGTTGGGCTTAGTTATTCTATACCTCCCATCACAGATCTCCATGGACAGAGAATTTTGCATTTACCTATTTCATTCTGTTATGTCAGCCACAGCTGGGGTGACCACTTGTCCCAGTTTGCTGGAGACCTCTGCAATTTACCTCTGTTGCTGTGACACAGTTATGATTACTCTCTTTCACTAACGAACATGCCTTAGTCTGGATGATAAATTGTATGATCACCTTATTTAAGTATTAAAAAATGATGTTCCATTAAATTGTTTTATGGAGGAGGGACAAAACATAAACCCAGAGAAATGTATGTAGCTCTTTAAGGTTTTAAGCCCTATTCTTTAAACCAGACATGATGTTAATATGGCAGATTTCTGTCATATCATTTGGGTAACTCGTCTGTGTATGCCTAACCAGCAATGCTTACAAAATTAGGACATGTCTCTCAAGGCCTTAGTTCACTGACTTAAAACTGCTTTTTGCTTGCCTGCAGGAAACCCAGCCTTCTATTAGTTTTTGCATCTGAAGAACTTCTGGAAATTTCCAGAATCTTCATTCATTAATTCAATAAATACTCACAGCACTAGCACAGACAGCATGCCATGAGCTCCTGGGTGTGCAGTGGTGAACAAGAACGGACAGCCTTGGCCCTCATGGAGCTCGTCATCTAAAGAGAGAAACAGGTGTTAGTAATTTTACAAACGAAAAGCTGCTCTTCTGATGCTGCACCTAGCCCATAATGCTTCAAAGGAAAGGTGGCAGCGTAGGGTGCTCTGCGAGCCCCTGATAGTGGGATTTGAGCTTGTCAAGAATGCTCAGGGAAAGTTTTTTGTGGAAGCTCCCATTAAGCTGAGACCTGAAAGAGAAATCAAAGTTACTTGGGTGAGGCGGGATGAGCAGAGACAGAAGACAGATTGTGCCAAGGCCCTGCAGTACAAGGGCGCACAGGCACAGGACGGGGAGGAGATAGAAAAGACAGAAATTGCACAAACACATAACGCAGCAAGAAGAGAAAGCCTCGTGGAAAATGGGGCTGCAGAGGTAGCTCAAGAGGTAGGGAAGAAATTCAAGTGTTTTAATCCAGTGTTGATACAATCAGAATTGTGCCTAGAAAATATTAGCTCAACTCAGTTCTGAAGAATAGACTGAGGGGCAGGAGAACCAGAGTAGGTGAGGTGACAAGGAAGGAAGCAAAATTTGGTGAGTTTGTGGTTTGAGATGCCTGATCTCTTGAACAACCTAAGTGGGTAGTTGTACAGTGATAACTACAGCATGTGAAAGAGATGTGAGAGAGACATGGCATTGCATGGAATGAAGATTTTGCCAATAGTTTAAGCTGAGAAAGAGTACTGTGGAAGAACTTGTTAAAAGGTGGACAAATGAAAAGAACCCTGAAAAGAAGAGGTAAGGGGGAATTTAGGGAATGATGATGTCCTGAAGCCAGGGAAAGAGTGAATTATAAGACGGGAGTGGCTAACAGTATCAAATACCACAGATTAAGTGAGTAAAAACTGAAAAGTACCCATTAAGTTTATCAACTATGAAGTTACTGATTACCTTGGAAATATCAGCTTCAGTGAAGAACTGTTAAGAATTAAAGGCATACTTAGATTGGTTAAGAGCAAATGATTGGGTACACACTACATATTTTAAGTAGTTAGAACATAAAAGGACAGAGGGCACTATAACTAGAGGAGGAAATAGGCTATGTACAAGAATTTTTGTCAATGATTTGGTTTGGTTTGTTTTGAGAAGGCTTGTATGCAGTGGTATTCTGATAAACCAGGCCTCCAGAGGAGAAATAAAAGCTCTAATTTGTAGCTACTACAGATGACCATGGCGTAAACACCCTCACCATGGCTGGGGTAAAACTATCAAGGCAGAATGCAGATTTGAGAAGATACCCAGAATTAGCTATCAGCTTCAGTGCACCACCGCATAGAAACCAATGGGATGGGAGAGGTTGATGGTTTGTGTGAGAAGTGGGATTGCTAATAAAACAGATAAAGAGGGAAGAAGGTAGGATCCAGAGTAAAGGTGGGAAGATTAGTTTTGGATAAGAGAAAAGATATCTTTTCTAATGAATTGGGTGGCAAAGAGTTACACTGGAATCAGCTCATCGGGAGGAAAGGAAATTGAATGAATTCTCACTTCATGGGCTATTTTACCTGTAAATTAGGACAGGAGGGCTTTGCTGAGAGTGAGGAAGTGGCAGTTGGCACATAATGTTGGATTGGAAGAAACAGTTAAAGCTTGAAAGAAAAAGAGATGTGGAAGGAAATGTGGACAGTGTTGAAGTCCTAGTGATGTTGAAGACCAGGGCTTTGTACCCGTACCATTCTGCAGAGTCACATGAAGTTATCTGGAATGTAGCAACCCGGGTATATGAAAACAGACGTAAAATAATTGCATTGATCTTGGGTTGAAATTTTGGAGGAAAATGTGGAGGGATGACAAGAATTCAAGCGAGAAGTGGGTACTGACAGGAGGATGTTTGAAATGATAGGCTATGATGTCTAGGTAAAAGAGAGAAGAAAGAGAGCCAAGGGGAGCTTTTAGAAGTAAAGAAAGTGATACTTTTAAGAGATTTGAGATCTGAATGAGGCTGTGGAACAGATGGAGTGGAAATACGAAGTCGGTAGAGTTGAAAAGTTGGATGGTGCCGTTTAGAGAATAACTTCAGAGAAAGAACAAGTATAGAGGTGGCCAAGTTTGGGGTGGCCATGATTGTGACTGGCTGAAGCAGAGTGGAGGCTCAAAAAGACTATCATAGTGAATAATAGGGAACTGTAAAGCTGGTGCTGGATGATAACTGAAAAGGGCATTGACGTCATCCAGGATCTTGGGTTGGATATTAAGACTTTAAGCCATGTACCAAAGCCTTTGTTAAATGTAGAAGGCTTCACTGGGACCCCAGCCATTCACAGGGAGAAATGATGTTTACAGCTAAACAGTGTGACTCTCAAAAGAGTCATTTTTTTTTTTTTGCAAGAGAGTGAATAAATAATATTTTTAATTTGGTAATAAAGAAAGCCAACCAGTGGGTCCTAAAATAGTGAGGATTAAAAAAAAGAAGAGGAAGAGGGGAAGGGAGAAGAAGGGAAAGGAAAGAAGAACCTAAACTTTAAAAAACGCTGCTAGATGAAGGGAGGAGCCCAAACATAGCTCAAGTGGAGCAGGGATGTAGCTCTCTGAAAAAATGAGAATGTACAGGAGGGTTCATTTGGTTTATTTGTATGTGTATTTGGTTGTTTGGCTTGGTTTAGATTTGTTATTAATAGTCTGTTTTGATTTTAACCATCCATATGGCATATTTGAAGAATACTTGTTCCAGAAGATAGTTATGAGATGACATATTAAGAGACGATAATTGAAATGTCCTCAATGCCAGTAAAACTAATGTTCTCAATCACTTCCAGTTTTTTTTTTTTTTGCATGAACAAAGTTACCATGAGTACATTTTCCAAAAAAGAAAAAGTTCAAATGTAAGATCTGAATTGAATTGTGAGCTTCTCAAACAGTCTTGTTGGATTCGTGTCTCAACTGCAAAAGATTGAGATCCCGAATAAGGCTTATGGGTGTATTAAAACTGTACACTTGCAGAGGAAGTAGCCTTGAAAGCAACCAGTTTTGTGGACTTAATTATGCTGGTACCAGGAAAGCATAGAATAGATCCTCTTGATAACAAGAGCCATGCTGGACATTAACAGTATCACAGAGAGGAGTGGGGACCATTTCTTTGGAATAAAGTTGAAATATGTTTCTTAATAGACAACTCTCTCAGCATTATAAAATCCTGATATAGAGCTCAAGAAAAGACACACACACACACAAGATTTTTATCGTTGTTACGTTACTAAATAACAACTAATGTGGTTATTGGTTGTTATCAGTTGGTTAGGGATTGGAGTTAATGTTTCTTCAGATCTGAGCAATAACCTATGTGGTAAAGTCTTAGTGTGGCAAAAATTTGGAATCCGAGGGGTGTGCTTACATAATTTGCTTTCTTAAGGTATGGTTTACTCTTTTATGCTACCTGTCATTTCTGCTTTAAACAATGTCCAGGAAATTCAGCCATACACAACAAAGAACCAGATCCCTCATTTCAGTTCTATCCTTCCTCCTCTAGAATTGACATTCGTTGAGGCCATGTCCTCAAAGTGACGTGTCCTGCTCTAGCTAAATGGCAGTAATCTGTGTTTTATTCCAGCAGTTTATCAAGCTATGTCATTTTATGCCATGTCAGTTTATAGAGAGTGGCACAAGATACAACAGGATAGGGAAGTTGAGTTTTCTATTTGTCTACTTCATTGAAAACACGATTTTGTTTACTGACAAGTAAATGGTATAGGTATAAGCAAAGAGTAGCAATTACCATATTATTTTGCCAGAATCCTCATGTTACCGTTTCAAAAAATGCCAAGAAAGATGACAGTGCATGTTATAACATCCCTTACAAATAATAGCAAAGCTTTAATCAACTGATGTACAGACACACTCAGGATTGAAATGCAACCTACTAGGGTGAAACATGACAAGCAGTTCATTGAACACTGCGCAGAAGGTAAATGAAGTGTATATTTTCCAATCACAACTGGAATTTTAAGTGAGTGAAATGGAATAAACTCAGTTTGGAATTTGAAATAAATTCACCGTGGAATGTGTCTTAGAGACCAAGGTTTACACTAGTGCTATACAAACCCCTCAGCATGAAACATGACACAAGATGAAATTTTCCTGGCATCTTAGAGTCAGATACAGACTTCTGAAGGACCAGGGCACAGACATTTCATCAAGAGCTGTTTGTTTCTAATTGCGGAAGAAAATACAGATGTTTATGTAATACTCTGGGTCAGGAGTAATATTCCACCTGGTACATGGAGTTGTGTACACTTTCTCGAGGTGGTATTTCTATCTGAGTGTTACCAATAAAACATTTTCATCAAATGTCCATTCTTCTTTTTCTTGAAGTCTGCTTGCATAGTTCTAAGGAGTGTCATAGATCACACATAGTGACACTGATGAGTGGAAATGAGAAGTGGTTGGAGAAAACACAAGGAAAGAATCAACTTGAAGTCATTCAGAAGTAACCACTAGTAGCAATTTAACTACCCGGTTGCCAAAGCTTTTTGCTTAAATTACAGATTCTCATGAGCTAGTAACTTTGCAGGGGAGCCAGAAAGAGGAACAGGTATTATACACAAGGCCAAAGAAGCAGTTGGTAACTACCAATACATCTTTTTCTAAGGTAAGTTTAAGGTCACAAAAAGACTTACTGTACAGAGTTGAAAAACTTACATATTTCTTAGAAGCTTAGAAGTTATGAGTTTAGTTGGGGCTCCAGGAAGATGCAAGATGCTAGACTCCAAAAAATAAGAGAGAGGTCCTGTGTAGAATAACACCCTACAGATTAAAGGAGGACTCAAGACTAGAGGAAAAATTTAACAAAATACAGGGCTATGAGTTAGGCGTTCCTAGTTAGAGTCTGAGTGTCTGGAAATGATGAAATGGGTGAGCTCCAGGAATGCAGGATGTGTGAAATTGGTAATCAGATCTACTGGTTTGCTTGTTCTGAGTGTATCATTAGGATTTTTGGAGACTGGTGTTAGTGGTGTCGGCAGAATTAGTCCCCTGCACTTGTGTTATACTTTTCCACTTTAAACAGTAGCTTGTAGTTATTTAGCCCTCATTTGCATTCAGGTAAAACCAAGATAGCACCCTATAATCCAGCAAATATTTGTTTTCCTGGCAGTCTTACAGTTTCAGGGGGCAGTTCTACAGTGTTTACAGCTTCCACTGCTTGGAGCTTTCTGTATATTTATCCTTGGATTAGACTCAAAGTAAGCTGATTTTATCAAGCCACCGGGTAATTCTGACCATTTCATCTGGCGATTTTAGTACAGTATTGTTGCAACTGACCTGTATACGTAAGGAATTACTGGGTCATCAGCTCAGGGGAACGTCTTTTGATTATGAACACACTTTCAGCATGTGTCCACTGAAGGTAAGGGGCAAAGAAGAATTGCATGATCTACTTGAATGCCTGTTTTAAATAGATAAAAGTGGGATTTCGGGCACGGCCTGGTTATATCTTCTTAAACATAAGTAGTAGAGCCGCGACTCAGCGTAGCAACAAGAGATCTTTTGAACAACTGAACATTCAGATGGAGCCACTGTGTCCTTCAAACCACATCCTTCCTGCTGCCTGTGGGAAAGGGGTGATATTTGTGTTGAGCTCTGAGCACATGCAGAACAGATCTGTGTGTATTTCCACAAATAAAAGGACATTGTGTGTGTGTTTGGCACCTGGGATGGCAAAAGCAGTTAATTGCTTCCGAAAGCTTTGTTCTAACCCAGGGATCGGCAGGATTTTTAAGCACTGAACTAGGAACTGGGCACTAAAAATACCCATGCAGAAGACCTATGATAGCAGTGAGTTTGCAGAGCAGAGCTAAGACTTGCAAACTGTGTCATATCTGTGTCTTTACTTACTATGGTTGAGAGGAAAGGATTTAACATGCCGCGTTTCCAGGCTGCAAACTAATGAGCCGTGTTGTAGTAACGTTTTGAGATATTGTATGTTGTGTTGTTTCTATGAGGATAATTCAGAATATATAGAATATAAGCATATGTTTTTCTAAAGTAAAAAACTTTGCCCTAGTTTCTTTGCTTATACTGTTCACATCATGTTCGTATAGTCACTGACAGTTAATGATTTTTGTCATTTAGTCAGAAATAAAGTAGTTCTCTGCCTCTGAACCCCCCCAAAAAAACCTAAATTAAAATAAAATATATATTAAAATTAAACTTGGATTATGAAAATGAAACAGTAATGCTCTCATGCCATTCAACCCCAGACTTTTCGTATTACAGATAGTTAGCAAGTGAACAGAAAGCTAAGCATGAACATATTTTAAATGCTCCTGATATTTTCAAATGCTTAATCCTAAGCCTTAAAGGGTTTTATCTATAGAGATTTGGGGAATTTCAGTGTTTCTTTCTCTTATTTTAGATTTTCTGTTAAGTTATTCTCCAGAGTTTTTATATAAAATGCATGAATAAGCATGATTTAACGAGAAGACAAAGTCTTAAGTACTGTAATTCATGTTGGAAATCATGAGTATTGTTAAGTCTTCGTACTTATAATCAAAGTGGTCATCTCCTGAATATAATGAAAATAAGAGCAAGTGATAGCCCCTTATCTTTATTTCAATATGCTTTTTCTGCATGAGTTTGAACAACTCAGACAAGGAAATATCTTGTTGAAGGGTGAGATGCATTTTTAAATTTATTTTTGCTTAATTTGCACTCAACTGAAATTGATTTGAGAACATATATTTAAGCAAAGATCTTCACAAATTATTATAGAATGAGAATTGTATATTGTGACATGTTTAATAATCATGATTTTATTCCAGTGATCCAATAAAAGGAAGTGCTCAATCGAAGGATCGGAAATGTATCAAAAAGCCCAAACTCTGCACAGTACCATGATTCCTAATTCTCAAAAAAATCCAATGGGTTTTAGTTTCTAAAAGTGATACAATACAAGAGTACAGAGTCTCTTTCTAATTCTGTGAGTGAAATTCTCTTTAGAGGGAATGCTGAATAAAAAAGATGAGATCAGGGAAAGAGGTGAAAGAAATGTTCTTCTCCAGTTCACCTTACATTAGGAGTCAACTTTTACCCCAGCTCAGGCAAAGGTACTTATGTGAGAATCCCGGTACTTCAGGATCAAGAGAACAAAAAACAAGTAAATGATAGGCATGGTATTAAACCTTAGCTATGGCATTTCTATTGAGCAACCGTTAATGTTTTGGAAGGTTCTAAATCATAATAAAGAGTGTGTATCTCATGCAAGATGTAAATGCATTTCGTTAACAGGGAGAACAAAGTTTAGAGTTGAAAGTAAATCAAAGTAGGAGTTTGTATTTTAATGAAGTACAGAAAAGCCGCCCTCCTAAAAAACTGAAAAGGACTGAAAAATGTCCTTTACATATGTCAGTACAAATGAAGAACATGTATTGAGTTAATTCCTATGCTGAAAATTCATCATGCAATAGCCAATAGGTATTATCTTTCTACAGTACGAGAAGTACAAAAGCAGTCTTTACTATGTGATCTGGTTCAGATTATATGCACTCAAGTGTATCATAGGCACTCGTGAAACAACTGGAGGAAAATACAAACAAAACAAAACAACGTAAGAGTGTGGCATGAAAACATAAATTTTGCAGCAGGTGAGAGAGGGAAATCAGAACTGATGGGAGATTTGCAGGACAGTGAAGTATTTTTTAAGATGCACCTTAAAAAGGGGTGAAATGTGTCCCTTCAACAAAAGGCTTTCCAGACCATGAAATCCTAGAAGAAAATGAAAAATCATTAATTTGCCAATTCACATTCAGCTTTTGGTTCATGGGACAAGCATTTAGATACAACGCAACCTATTTGATCTTCTCCTGCATAAATCATTCCGTTCCTTTAATGTTCCAGCCAAAGCCTGTGAAGCAATGTAACTGCTTGATTTTGTCAGGCGATTTATAAAAATGTAGTCACCTGGAAAATGCTAAAAGGATTGACTGAAACCAATTTTCACTCTTGTGAAATGTGTCTTTGTTTCAGTCAGGTTGACTCAATAGCTAACAAAACAGAGAGAACCTGACAGACATGTTTCTCAGTGCCCGTTGGCCTTATGTGCCTACCCACTCACATAGACCTAGTTAGTTGCATGAACAGATATTATTGCTGTCTCCTCCCCACAAATATTATTTTTGCTACCTCAAAAAGACTTTGCTCTTGCAATTTAACAGTAAAAGGACACAAATAACAAAATCTTAAGACTTAAGTTCTAGTCTGAATGTCATTGCCTATAGGATTTGTGACTTTGGTTTTTATTTGACATCTCAGTCTTGGTTTTTCTTCGTTGCATTATTACTCATTCAGCACTCTGAGCAATACAAATGCATTTTCTGCAGTGCAAATGTATTGGAATTAACCATCTTCATTATGTTAAATATTAAGTAGAACTTTGTACAAATAATGCATTTCATTTAGAACTGAGTTAACATATTCAAGAGTGGCATTGAATTCAGAAACTGAATTCTTTCTGTCCTGGACGAGCTATGCATTTATTGTTAAGAACATTCATAAACATGATTGTACCTTATTAAATCTCCTATTTCTTTTAACTTATTTTTTTCATTGTTAGCACATTCCAGGGTAGATATGAACATGTATCAACTATGGAATATAAAAAATTAAAAGGGAAATAAAGATCAAGCTAGAAGTGGTTGATTATGTCATCACTGTACTAATTCATTTTCCTCAAAGTACAAAAATTCCATGTTGATGCATATATTGTACCCAGATTAGCACTTGGAGTCAATAGAGATTTTTGAATTTTCTCAGTATCCTCTGCTTTCTATCTCTCATTTCACTTCTGTAAGGTGAGAAATACTGTTGAGTTGGAATGTCCATAATATCTAAACTGGCTTTCATGAAGAAGAGGTAACTATGTCCATTTATTTAGCTATACACCAGGCACTAGCACTCAATTAATTACTTGCCAGAAATGCTAAATACATGAGACAATTCTGTTCAATAAGGATAAAACAGTGCCTAAGTAATTTCTATAGATACTCTAAGGATAAAATAAGGAAAAAAAATAAATGCATTCTAAACTGTAATTAATTATAGCTTTAATTTTTAAATGCTAATGTTTTGTCAATATTTTTCTTTGAAAGGTCAACAATGTATGTTATCTTAATAGAGATCATATGAACTGAATTATATTTTGCCTCATTTTGGACTGATGTTTCAACTTCGTCTTTCAAAATAAATAATGGGTCAATAAGCCATTTGCCAATTGCCAAATTCAATACTTAGACAAATGTTTATTAAGCTCCCATATGGCTATTACTAAAATATACTACTACAAATATCTGTAATAATTGCTGCCATATATGGAACAATTCCTGTATACCAGATGCTGCTTAGTACTTCATATGTTCCATCTCACCACACTGATCATTTGGAGGATGTATGGTGATTAAATATAATCCCCATCATCTGGGGCAAAGTGTATGAGGTATGCGTAGAATGAGAGTAGGAGTTGCTGTGGGTCAACATGACTGGCCAGGGCTAATACGTTTTAAGGCCCTCCTCTTCTCACCATTTAGCCTCGTGGGATTCTAGAACTTAAAGATGAGGCCTCAGAGTATAGACCAGTAGAAGTTTGCATCCTGGCTGCAGCAATTCAACTGAGTGCCAGGTTGAGTAGCCTGCCAAAACTCCAGGGGCTTTCACCACAAAAGTAGGGAAACAAACTCCATTTTATGAATGGGTGTATTTTGGCCCTGAGCTGATATTCACTGGAGCCAAGCTGTACAGCCTCTGGTACTCCCAAATATGCTTAAAAACACACAAACCTGCCTTTTTTTTCCCCCATCCAAGTCAATGTTGGCCCAAA